GGTCGGTCGGTTGGTTGGTTGGTTGGGTGGGTGGGTGGTTGGTTGGTTGGTTGGTTTGTCGGTTGGTTTGTCGGTTGGTTGGTCGGCTGGCTGGCCGGCTGGCTGGTTGGTTGGTTGGTTGGTTGGTCGGTTGGTTGGTTCGTTGGTTCGTTGGTTTGGGGTTGGGGTGGGTTGGGTTGGGGTGGTTGGTTGGGTTGGTTGGCTGCAGCCCCAGCCCCGGTTTCTTGGTGTTAGGCTTGGCAGCTGTGATTTGGCGTTGGTCGGTCGGGTTGGCTGGCCCGGGATGCTTCCCGCAGCATCACCGGCCTCGCTCGGACCTGAGGCTGCGTATTGGCTTTGATTTGGAGATCTTGCAGGTCTTGGGTTTGTTTGGGATTCATTTCGGCTCGGCAAAGGGCTGCTATCCTGGATGCTGTTGAGCGGGTTTAAGGTTGACTTTGGGTCAGGTTGGGTTGGCGTGGGGCTGATTTGTGGTCTGTGTGCAGTGGCTTTAGGGCTGCTTCAGGCTGTGGTTATGTGAGTTTTGGGCTGGCTTGGGATTGGCTGCCGGGCGCTGCCCCAAACCATCAAAACAAGCCCAAGCAACCCTAAAGCAACCCTAAAGCCACTGCTAAACCAGCTGCACACCTAGCACAAATCAGCCCGAAGCCCAAGCCGGACCGACACCTTGGTCCGACCGAGGCCGGTGATGCTGGGGATGCGGTTGTCTCTCCTCATGTCAGCCGCCCATCCGCCTCACATCCTGCATCAAAACTGCCCAGGTCAGTCATCCCCAAGAAGTTTGAGAGCCTGAGTTCAGATGCCACGGACCTCACGGTGCCAGCCTCAAGTGTCTGAGAGAGGCCCTGCCGCAACATGAGGTTCGGTCAACATTTCCAGTAGTTTCTGGTCCTGGAGGACTCACTAGTTTCCCCACAACCTTCATGTCTTGAGGAAAAAAGTCATTTTGGCCATGGCTCACATGAAGGAAAACACATGAAAGACGATTGACAAGGTCGACAGCGAGGGGTAGGCAACGAGCTGAATCAGGCAATTTTATTTTGTTCGGCTAGTTAAACAAAGCTCGCGGAAGCCCAGATTTGGCCTGGCAGTTGGACTTAGGCTTCTCCTTGCAGCTATTAAATACACACTTGGGAGCCCGCCAAGTGATGCTCCCGCCCAGTTGGGGCTCCTTTGAAAGACAGTGCATGACTGCGCAAGTTGTTTGGTCTTCAACATGCCAGTATTTTGTCAACCGCCGCCGACATGTTTTAGCATTTTCACTCACATCCTGCAATACGACGTTACTTGCTCCATACGGCCGGCTACGGTTGCCATTTCTCGTTGCCGCACCATGTGTGTGGGGACGGGGGGGTCAATGAGGATTGTCAACACTACCAGCAGTGCATGGTTCACTTGGGAGGGACATGGGGGACTCACCAATTGTCCCTACAAAAACCAGGGGACACTAAATTTCCAATGTTTTCTTGGGGAAGCAAGTATTTTGACTACGGCTCATATCCAATGTCAGGAAGCGCCCAGGTGGTCACTTTTGTGCATGTATCCGGAGATGTCTTAACAGTGCCAGATGCAGCGGTAAGCCATCCGTCAGCACAACGAGGAATACGAGCGCCACAGGGACAAGTTCTTTGTTGCTTTTGCATTGTCAGAGGGTCACAGTCCGAGCCATGTGCGAAGGGGGATATGTTTGCCTTTTGAAACCACAAACTGGACTGTGAGGCAATCCTCATTCCTTTCCAATTGGGGTCGCGGCAATTTGGCCAACCCTTGCGAAGGCTCAGGCCTAGACACGAGCCTTGAAGCGGCGCACCGATGAGGTGCGCTTCATAAAGCTTCTCAAGCCCGGCCCGGTGCGAAGCAACCTGGAGGAAGTCCGGCGATATGCGTCAGGTCATCGACCGAAGGGCCCGGGGAATGCGGGCTTTCTCTATGCTTTCCATTTGACATGAGCATTCTTGCGATCTCATGTCTGATCCTGTGCGATTTGTATCCAGAGATGCTGCTGGGAACCCCCCGCGCGTTTATACCAAAAGACGCTGCAATGTCAGGGAGTCAACCTACGCTTTTCCCACAGGCCATCTTAATGTGCGACTCAACAGCTTTGCAATCGCTGTATCACGTATCGTGTTTGTATTCACTCCTACTGACGGTTTCTGAATGTTGCGAACAAAGCTGCCACAGAGGATAGATGGTAACAAGCACACGCTGATCCTGACTTGCGACATTTGTTTGATGCCGTGACTGCATCTAAAGATAAGTCGCAAATGCGGCCTCATCAAAGCGGGTTTGGGACCTCACGACCTCACCGACGACGGGAGTTCTTTTTTGGGAGGTCATTTCTTCAGGATTTCCACCATTCTCCTTTTTGGAACTCCAAACAGGGCAGTTTCAATGGACACCACCAGTAATCCTAAATTGCAGCTCTTTAGGGAAGATCATGGAAAGTGTTCATTTTTCGGGCATGCCATGGACTCAGAGAGAAGGAGCTGCTTGCGGCCATGCACCACAAGATCGACAAGGGTGATGCCGGGACGCATGACAGGGCCTGTGGGTGGCTGGAATGGATTTTGGCCATGGCCACAGGGCTTGGGCTCGTCTGCTTGTGCTAAATATGCCCGTTGGTCTACTTGTGGACAGACCTCCCAGGAGACTATACCAGCCAAGCAAAACCTAGGTGACAACATTGGACGCGGAGTGATTGTCTGCGTCGCTCTGAAACGGCGTTCTACTACTTTAGGCAAGGTGAGGCAGACGCTAAATTAGTGCCCCGAGTGAGTACTGTATGACCTGCCTGAGGGTGGTCCGTTTTTGATGGTACCCTTTTTCGGGTTGGTTTCAAGGGAAACCAAAGGGAACGCCCATGTTAGTGGTTCGTTTTGAGACCAACTCGTGAGTGCTCACACAGGTACAAAGATCCGCTTCTTTGTTTCATCGTTCGTAGATGCCACTCGTGAGGGACAGTGACAGCATGAGCGGCGCCGCCCGACACAAACAACGAAACAGCACACGGAGAGCTCGCAATTGACCGGGTGTGGACTGTGAGAGACACCTCATTGCTCACGCAATAATTATGTGACAGTCCATTTGTACATCCTTGAAAATAGAGAGAAAAACAAACAGAAGAGAGTGGGACATGGCAGGGGCCATTTGAGGGCGGAACCATTCAAAAACAACACCCCATTGGAGTTTGGTTCAGACCATTTTGAGCTGCCGTCTTCCGAATGCGTGATTGCTCAAATCGCAAATACCGCAGAGATGCCATCACACAAATCAGCAACGTGTTGTCAGTGGCCGTCTGCACTAATAGACTGGTGCACGTGTAGGTCCATGCAAGCGTTTGCCCTCCCCGATTCATCAAGGAACCATGACCTGTTTAGAACTGGCATGATACAACTGGTTTGCGTCAGGCAGAAAACACAGCAAACAAACAAAGCCTCTCAACTGCCTGACGTGACTAGTGCAAGCCGCTTTCGGCTCATCATGTCCTTCGGTGATGCAGAGCAGAAGCGGCTGCGGAAGGGCTTCAAGCTGGTTCTGCTGGGGGACGCCTCCGTGGGCAAGTCTTCCATCTTAGTGAGGCCCCTGGACCCAAAAGCGACAGCCGATGGCGCCTGAACAGGCCTTACTTTTTGCGCTTCAAGGCTTAGAAAAGCAAGCGCTCACAATAGCGCTTAGCCGTTTTGCGTTTGATTTATGTTCTTGTTTAGGATGCGAACCGCAGTGGATGCGGTCCGCACCATCGGATTTCAATCTGGATCAGGGTGCAGGTGTTGCTGAGAAACCTGAAGGTCTGGTGGGGTCTCTGGCTATTTGGCTGAGCATTTGCAGGAACACATCATGTGCTTTCAGCTCAGGTTCCTGCACAACAAGTTTTCAGAAGAGATCGAGCCTTGACCTACTTGGAGCATGTGTTCCAACACATGTGTCGAGTCCAAAGCTCCTGGGGGAGCCGACTTCAATCCAAAACTTAGGGCCCTTTTGGTGGTTTTAATGGGAAACCCAGAAAGCAATGACCATTGGCTTCCCCACCTTGAGGACGCAGCTGTTGTATGTTTGCTTCAGTCAGACCCGGTCATTTTCTATTTGGTCTGGCAGTGTGCCATGGTGCACCCCTTCCACCCCGTCAGGAAACCACTGTAGGGGCCGCCTTCAACACGAAGACGATCGAGTCCAGAGGGCGACAGGCGCCAGACATCAGTGCCCCCCATGAACAAGTTTAATTCTGACGTGGAACCGCCAATCCGCCAAATTTGTGGACTCTGTGCATTCGGTTTGAGAGGTCTCTGCAGAACTGGTGGTCTTGATAGGGCTGGTGGAAGTTGCAAGTTGAGTGCAAGTCGAGGTGGCAAAGGCGATGTCAGCAAACGCAGTGGCAGCTCTGGTCATCAACCAGTCAAACGGATTTCTCACCGCATTTGCATGGATTCCGGCAGAGCGAGAGAGAGAGAGAGAGAGCGACCGGATCTATTTCTACAAGTTCTGACCATGGTGCATGTGGGTGTGACTGGCGTGGAACAGGTCCCTCGCATGAAGAGAGAGAGAGAGAGAGAGAAAGCCAATCCTAAGGCTGGATTGCTCATTCTGTCCAACCATCCAGATGTGAAGGAATTGAGCCTAAAAAGCTGAGGAAATGTATGTCCGGAAAGAGCACACCCTCAACTACAAAGGGTGACGTGACTCTGCGGGGTTGAGCTAAGAAGGATCTACAGTGAGCTCACTTCATTTTAGATGCTTCCTTGACTTCCCACAAGTAGGCATTGCAGGTTCTGAACCCCCGGGAGTCCAATATGAGAACATGATCGATGGGGTGAGATTGGGGAGAGCGTGAAATGCTGGGAAAGCACGAGTGTGCTGGGAGAACCACTTGCTTGCGTCCAAAACTGCGCACACTCTGGGCTGCTCTGAAAGAACTGGACAGTCTGGAATTGTAGAGAATCCGCCAGGTGAAGTTCGAGATATGGGACACTGCCGGACAGGAGCGATTCCGATCGCTGGCGCCTATGTACTACAGGCCAGCCGAGCACAGTTTGCTCTGTGTGTGAGCGAAGGCCTTGCCGATATGACATCTTAATTAAAGAGTGAGTGTTTTTTCAAAAAAGCATAGCTACCCATCCTTTTTTTGGGCAGTTGTTCAAACGACAGCCCAAAGACCACCTGACACCATCGTTCAAAACACACCCGAGGCAAATCTTGTCAGGGCTCGAATGGAATGGCAGCACATGGCCGCCGCCACGGTGAGGCTTTTGATTACGCGCAGCCGTGTCACACCAAGCGTATTCATTTTTGGCTGTGGCCCTTTGCCCTACTAGGGGTGGGGTTAAGTCACATCGGCCTGTGTAAAGTCATCGATTTCGCGTGGCCAGTGGGGACACCATCCCCGCAGGCAACCGGCCCAACTGTATGCGTCGGAGTGGAGTCCCGTCGAAACAGCGTGGCCGGAACGCACAGCAAGACATCAACTGCATGCTTTTGGCTTGCTGGACGGCGCACACAGTGGAGGCACGTGGCCAATGTGATTGAACTTCCGCAGCTGGCGTTCGAACTCAAAACTTGATTTCCAGGAAACTGGCGTGGCCGGTGCGAAAAGCATCCCCGCAGGCAACTGGCTCAACTGTATGCGTTGGGGTGGAGTCCCGCCGGAGCTGCCTTTACCTAGGTGTGGGACGCAAACAGCTAGTTTCGCGGCAGATAGTGGCGTACACTGTCGAAGCGCGAGGCCAGCGTGATTGCCGAATCATGATGAATGATGTGATTTCACGCGTGCTGATGTGACTTCGCGCGCGAGTGGCCGCGCAGTGATGTGACTTCGCGCGCGTTGATGCGACTTACCGCGGCCGCTTGCATGAGCCTGTTGCTTGCGGAAACCCGCAGAGAGGGACCTTGACCAGATATTTGCAATCGCATCTCCGACTCATCCCTCTTGCGGCCGACGTTAGTCCCGGGTGTTCTATTAATGCTTGGCCATGTTTGCAAAATATCGCTTGAGCACAATGGGCATGTGAACGCGCTAATAGCACACCGCATACGCTGGGCATTCGCCAAAGTTCCGACCATGGAGCCGCTTGGGGAGCTTTGAGGGCGAAGTGGAGTCGTCTAGCCACACCCCCTCATTGGCCACAGACTAAGTGTCGCCGCGCAAGCGAAACAGAGTTTAAGGCAGCCAGGAGCCAGGAGCAACCTGCCCTGCGTAGCGCAAAGTGGATTGAATAGACCCTGATAGTGTCCACAAGTTTCTCGCAATTCATGCTGTTGCCATCTTCCAACAAGAGTTTGTTGAGAGGCGAGGGACTCGTTTTCATTCGCCGGGGTAAGTCCTCCCCCCGGCGCGCCAGCGCGTCAACAATTGAGACGCCATGCGCGCGACTGACTCATTTACACTCCTCGGGCAGCTTTCGGGCTTATTGAGATCCCCTTCCTGCCTAACAACCTCGGCAATTTTTAGGGGTGCCCTTGAAAAACGCTTCAGGGAAGCTGGAGGTTGGGTCCAGCTTTATGGCTTCATGGGCCCCTTGCAGCAATGTAGGATAGCAACACGCGCGTTACAGTTTGCACTGCGTGTGGTTTGCGCAGCAGCAAGACATGTCTCTGTTGCACATCCCACAGTGGCTAACATGTTAGAGCTCGCGCAGTCACGAAAAGAGCATGCCGCCTCCTCATAGTCATGCTTCTCGTATTGGGCACACTATCAGGGTCTATTCAGTCCACTTTGACGCCCAACAAAAACCCAAGGTTTCCATGTTCCCCCTTAAGAAGATCCAAGCAGGTGTCCAACTGTTCATAGTTTCGCACTTGTGAAGGTGTAGTTTGAGGCACGCATGAGACACTCAATGAAACTAAGAAACATACACATCAGAACCATCATGTACATACATATTTGTATAAATATCTACAATTAAGTATATACTATATATCTATATGCACATGCCCAACATAATATAAATGCATTTGCTAAGACCTATACATACGTACAAATGTCGAGTTGGTACGAATACCTTGTATACCGTATACTTGTAGAAGCGCGTAGTTGTGCATAGCCATGGGCATATACACATGCATACAGCATATCTCTCCCAGAAGTGACATGCTGCGCTTGCGCGCCTGCAGGGGCGCCTCGGCTGCCGTGGTGGTCTTTGACCAGACCAATGCGGTGACCTTTCAGCGGGCGCAAGAGTGGGTCCGTCAGGCCGGGGGGGGGGCGCATCAAGCGTAATGTCAGCTTATCCTTGTACAGGTGCAATGCGTGCGTTCACATATATGCTGTTGGAAGACGACAGGGGACGAGTGGGAAGGGTACAGTCATGCACACATTGCTCACAGTCCACCCAAGTGTTTGGCAATCATGTTGTCCTGGCGCTAGGGTCTTCTGTGCGTTCAAGAAGCCCTGGTTTCAAGACCTTGCGTTGGCTGCTCTCCCCTTGACCAGATAAACGAAGGATTTGCCGAGTGCTTTCGGAAAATGCCCATGGCTATGCAGTTACTCTCAGCCAAGTATCTCCCAGGTGATGTCCACGAGCACCAACCCCAACATCGTCATCGCCCTTGCTGCAAACAAGGCGGTGCGAATGGCTCTGTCAGAAAAGGTGACCCCTCCGTTTCTTCTGCTAGAAATTTAATATTGAGACTTCCAAAGCTGGTGCACTCCAGCCTGCTGTGCACTTTGCTGTGCACCAAATCACACCGGCAAGTCCTCAAGTACGCAGGCCCAAGCAAGCCAATGCAACCCTCACCAGATCTGACGCATTCTCAACCCTCAACTCGAGGAAAAGAAGGCTCCTCGCACGGAGGCAAGAAATTGCATTCATGTCAAGAAAGGTTGACCAACACAGTTCGTAAACTGCTTGTGTGCTTGCACAAATTGTCGTTTAATTTTGTTGTGGCTTGTTGGTGGGCCTTGTTGATGATAGTCCTTTCTGAGTTCTCAACCGGCTAAGTGTGATAGCTGTCGTGCGTTGATGCATTTGGCGCCAGAGTGATAATTGCTTCTGGCAAGTTCTCGGCGGAGAGCTTTTGCTGAGGATGTTGGGCGGCCTTGCATTGCCCTGCATTCTATGAGCTGTTTGGTTTTTGAGCACCCCTCCTCCGCCGTTGCTTCAACCGTCAGGCTGACTTGGAGGAGAAACGGCAGGTGCCCTGGGAAAAAGCAGAGGCCTTTGCACGTGAGGAGGGCCTGTCCCTTGGAGAAGGCATTGGCAGGGGTTACTTAGCGAATGGCATTCAATCCAAATTTGGGGGGTGATCAAAGTCAGAATGTGGGGTTGTTTCCTCCTGCTCTACCATTTAGCTTATATGAGTTTGATGGTAGAGTCATGGGCCATGTGCAACTGGATTGAGTCAATATGAGTCAATGTTCGGTGTTCAAATACTTCACAGTAGGAGTTAACTTAAGTGTACGGTCCCTTTTTCGAGTTGTGGGTGTAGATTTTGCTGACTTGTGTCACTAAACTTGCAATTTGTCCTTTGCGAACACCTTTGCTTGGCGCATTCTACTTTGTAAAGTGTGCCGCGGTTTCATTGATGTTGAATGTGAGGCCTGTGTAAGTGCGTTGACAGATGTTAAAAACAAAAGAAGGCACACATGTGCAAAATTCCATCACACACCCAAGATGGGATTGTGTCAGCATGTATGTGTGAGAATCATGGAAGTTCAGTAGGTTTGCCTTAGAATCTAACACACACACACAAGCATGGGTTCTGCATTTTGGCACGTGATGCCTTTGTCTTGATGGTTGCAGTATGTGCTTCGGCAGTTGCGCAAAGCAAGCCCTGGGATAGCCTTGGCGTGAGTCGGATATTGCCTCATAATTCCTGTGCAAGTATTGTTGTGTTTTTTTCCATTTAGCGTCGCAACAAATGGCGCACCTGAAAGCGTTGGATTGTGAATCTTTTGTAAGTATAGTGCATAGCTGAATGTATGGTTGCTTGGTCATCTTGATTGGCCACTGGTCATCAGGGGTTGCAGAGTTTGTTTGGCTGATGATGCGCGCCGTGTTGAGACGCACGCACACACACACACACACACCGACGCCCAAAATAAGGCTGCCAATTCGCAACCTGTCGTATCGACTTTGGCAATCCCTCGCAGCCAGGGAATCATTTTTATACAAATGACTACTGCGAGGTATCAGTTGCAATTGTTCAGCGGCATCTATATGATTGGCCCACTGAAGCGAGCAACAAGAAAAGTGTGAAGAACGTGTTCGTAGTCGATTTTGGCTTGCGGCCAGTGCGCCTCCGGCCGAGCCCTAGGTTTCTGCTGGATACGTCGGCAATGACTGGGAAGAATGTGCTGCGCCTTTTTGTGGCTTGGCTGAGAACATCTGAGAGAAGCTGGGGGCCCCGTCGCCGATAAGCTGTGATTTGTTGCTAGAATCAATCCCTAGCGAGTCTCCATCCTGGGCACCACGGGCTATAGATGTTGTGCCATCGTTAGCATGTGTCACTTGTTTTGCCGAAGGAAACCTAATTTTGCGCTGAGGAGGGTATCGCTGAGCTTCTTCCAGATGAGCCTTTCGTACCGCAGCAGAGAGGTCTTCAAGTGACCGCAGCTGTTGACACGAGTGGCACCGAGCGCAAGGCAACGTCAAGAGGATGTTGCGGCTAGGGCCAGCAGACGTCAATCAACTTGTCATCCCGATAAACCCGGACTTGAGCTTCTCAACCGCGCCATGAGCTCCTTTTGTAGACCATCGGATTGTCAAATTGCTGGACCTTTGTTAAGGGGATCCCCACGACTGGTGGCACAAAATAGTAAACCATCCGGGTATCAAACAGGCGGCACCCGTCGGCAGCTTGCAGCGCTGGCCCGAGCAGTGGCATAGTGAAGCCTCCGCCGCGAAGAATTTGTGCCTCCGAATTGGGTGGCTGTGTAGAATCGGGAGATGATGTAGGTACAGCAGATGTGTTTATTTTGCTTGCTTTGCCTGCCGGCCGCTACCACTGCCGGCAGTGACACCGTCAGAGGGTCACCAAATGTTTTGGCACATGACTTCCAAGCTGGCGCAAAGCCTTTGAAGGTATCATTTCAGAACACCTTTGCGTGTGAGCAACCCTCAGTCGCTCTAAATTGGATTGAAATCAGGCCTTGGTGTCATTTAGTTCAAGGTTGCAAGGTGCTTGTCCCACTGGAACTCAGCTGCGCGGAACGTGTGCAGCGACGTGTCTCAGCAAAAATCGGCCGCGCAGAAACGGGCCACAGGTCGGCGTGCAAAAGGCGAGCTTTGCGTGACGTCTTGGGCAGGGCGAGCTCAGATTCAAACAGGCCGAAACGTGAAACAGACACGAGGCCCACGACTTTGTAAGAAGCAGTCTCTAAGTTTGGAAGCAATTCGTATACGTATCATTTCTCCTGACAAAGAAGAAGCACGAGGATGTGTCCCATTGCACTACAGCAACTTTGGCCCCTGGCTCACTGACATTTTGTTTGTGGACAATGATTTGTTTGCTTTCATGAACAAATTGCCGAACTCTGGCAAGTCTGTGCTTCAAAGCGGGGTTGGAGTGGATGGTTTTCGTCCAGACTTGCCAGGTAGAACTCGTACAAAAGGCAGGGCGGATTTCACGAGCTCTTGTTCATCCATGGAAGTTTGCTTTGATGCTCATGATGGGCTGGGATTCCGCTTGCTTTGGCATCCGGCAAAAGGAATTAAATGGGTCTGGTATCTCTACTGATCGCCCGTCGGGTTGTTTGCTGCCCCACAAGTCTGGAAGCAAAGCCCGAGGGAAAAGCAGTTGACACAATCTGATCCTTGGTTTTGGTATGTGTTCCTTTTGAGTAAGCGCAACTCGGGAGCGTTGGCCACCTTCGGATCAATACAGGTGCATCCTGCAGCCAGGACCCTTAATCCATGGTTGGTTTCCTTTCGCTTTGGCCTCGTAGGCCTTTTGCGCTGCGGATGGGGCAATGTTCCCTTTCCGATACACATCGAATTTGGATCTTGCCATCCATGCAGAGGGTTTCCTCTTAGCTTCCCTTCCAACAACCAACCGACTCTTGTGGCTTTTTCGTTTTGTTTTCCCTAACATCTGAGAGGGGGTGCAACCCATTGGGGAAGACGCATCTGGCCACAAGGCTGCGGGGCAAAAAACGACTTAGGACCTGCTCCGCGCCTCCGGGTGGGGCCGGGTCGAGCGCATCTTCACAGGCCCGAGCTGATTTGCCTCAAAGCCCGGGTAGATGCAAGGGTTTTAGCAAGGATAAGCCCAGCCATAAATGGGTGCAGCCGCCTTTGTTATTCCTTACACGGTCTTGGGGAGGCCATTTTACCTCAGTTGGGTTTAACGGGTATCCTTTTTAGGTGGAGAGAAGTTTTAAAAGGGGAAACCAAGAGTCACCATCATTCTAGGGCTTCTCAAGAATCCTACTTGGTCCGCTGAACTGGTTGGTGTGCTTTGGTCAAACAGGGTCCACCGTTTTGAGAAACTCCCATTTGGGTGCTGCATAGCCTATGATTTGATGTTCCCAACAGGAAGCCAAAACGCGAAGGGTAGCTTTGACATTTTCCCAGACCCGTATTCATCACCCATAGTTTTATGAGCGTGATGACGCTCATGGACCAGTATAGAAATGACTGTAGCTTCTAGATGTTCGACTTCAATCCCCAAAGGACACTCAACAATATGGTAATTAGTGTCTTTTGTGACGGACCCTTTTTGGGTTTGTTTTGAAGAACCAAGAGTCAAGCGAGGGGAAACCTCAAAGCTAGAACCCCTGTTGGGCTTCGGGGAAATCTCAAACGGAAACCAGAAGGCAGCCACTTGGAGGGAGTACATGGATTAACCTTTACTTGGAGAAGCACCGTTTGATTCGAGATACATTGCAGCCAGCTGCCCAGGGCTTGGTCAATTGTGAGAACCTCACGTTCGTTCCAACCATGCACAGGTTACGCTGTACGGACGATGCTCCATGTTGGGCCTTCGCTGATGAGGATGTATGAAGTTCTGTCAGGGCTAAGCTATAGATTATCGCATGGTTGGCGGATATTGACTATTTTTAGACGTTTTCTGACTGCTCAGTAGAACCTCGAATCCGGCGAATTCCTCGCAGGGGATGTGGACAAGCTGCGATCCCTGGTGGCGTTGGCCTTCAGTGACCAGGCCACGATGTGGACAGCGGGGGCCATTTGTTTGATTTGTTTGTTTGCTTAGGTGAGCTGGTTTCCAGCTTTGCAGATGAAGGTTTCAAGAGCAAAGGTAGAATCAGGTAGAACTCCCTGCTTAAACGTTGGTTTCTAGGTTGTAAAGGCATCTAACTTCTCAATTTCGGCACATTCCTATTGTGAGTTGGTCAAGCTGTGGGGCGATATGTTTTTGCTAGGAGATGCTTGCAGCTTAGCAAGGCCTGGTTGGTTGGTTGGTTGGTTGGCTGGCTGGCTGGCTGGCTGGCTGGTTGGTCAGTGGGTCGGTTGGTCGGTCGGTTGGTTGGGTTGGCGGGTTGGTTGGCAGAGTGGCATGACAGGGGTGGGTCAGAATCCCTAGCATCACCGGGAGATCTGTTGCCACCGCAAGACAGGCATGAGCCCAATGCTGCGTTGCAGGGCTGGTTTCAAGCCACTTAAGTTCTTGATTTAAGTTCTTGCGGCAGGAATAGGGTGGGCTTCAGACGGTTTAGGGCTTTGTCAGGGTTGTTTTTTGGTTCGTTTGGGGCTAGCTGGGGCGTGACCACCGCTTGGCATTAGTTTTTGTTTGGCTAAGTTTATGGTTGAAATTGGGTAAACTTGGGGGTGGCTTTGGTCAGGCTTTGGGGCTTGTTTCAGCAGTGCTTACTGTTGCTGCAGGGAGGGTGTTAGTTGATTTGTTTTTTTGGTTTGTGGATTGGGGCAACACAAAGCGGCTTGAACGCTCATGCCTGGCGGTGGCAACAGGTCAGGGGGAGATTGAGCATGGGGATTCTGGGGATGTTGCCCTCCGCCCGCCCTCCTTCATCACAGTCACGACACTTCTTGAAGCGAGCCACTCCGCACAAACAGCCTACCACATCCGGACGAAGCAATTGAGACACACAGGGGTGTCTATTCTAAATGTAGTGTAACGTGATGTCCCGCTGCAGAAGCAGATGACTTGGCACAGAAGATCCTTAGCGAACCTTTGACGGCGGAATGAAGTATTCTGTCTGGGTGTCCGAATGTGGGGAGAAAGTGCATTTTGCAGCGTTGGTGATCGGTCTCAGCTTTTCAGGACGAGATGTGAAGAGAGCTTTCTTAAACAAGCAGACCTCAGCCCCGATGGCTCTACACTTTCAGTTGGACTCCAAAGCTCCCCTCCTTACTGCGGGGCCACATGTATTTCGAAGGAAAGGAAGCTTCCGGGTAAGCCAAACACCTGTCAACCTCTTCGCCCCCCCTCCCCCCCATGCAAGTCGCCTTGCCCAATCTGTGGGTTCCCTTAATGGGGGAACAAATGCAGGGGGAGTTGCCAAACGTCAACGGGCCACTTTTGGAACTCCATGCTGTGCTGCCTTGGAAAGGGATTTCCACAAATAAAGGGACCCGTTTCCTCACCAAAGACTCGTTTTGGTCAAACTTCGGCCAGATGCTGCTGCACCTGAATCCCCGCTGGGCGGGGGGCAGTGGCAACAAGAAGCGGCAGGAGGAGCAGGTGGGCCCGCATCGCACTGTGACCGTGGCCTACGACCAGCAGTTTTAATCGTTTCAATCAATCTGTGGGAATCCCCTCAAAATTGTCGCTTGGCGTCGGTGGACACAAGTCTCTACCTAACGGATGTCCGCCAAAAGGTTCCCCAGTGAAAATGCCTGCCCGAATGAGTTGACCACCTGCGAACTAGCCGCAACATGGACAGGTTTTCTCATCCCATGGTGGGAGATCTCTTTGCAAACAAATTGCAGTCAGAGCCTTGCGCCTGAGCTAGTCAACTGTGTTTGTATTTCAATTATGAACAGAGAAGACTATGAGTCGATCAGATTTCAGCGTGTGGGGGTGGTGCATGCGCGTGCAGCTTCACTGCACCTTGAGCTGTCCAGTCTTTCGGTGGCTTGGAGAGCGCCAAACTTCAAGGTGTCGCGTGGGCTTGCTACGTCATTAACACACTAGAAACAAGAGGAAGAGGCTGTGCCGACCCCTGCTTCGCGTGACATCATCGTGTCCGAACATGGTTCTTGTATTTCGAGATGCGAGTTCTTGGCCAGGTTTACTTCAGGCACTTGTAGCGCGGACTTATGGGCTTTGAGCGTGACATTTCTTGAATCTATGTGTCGAAGTTTCGAGAATTAGCCCATTGGCGGGCAAGGCAGCGCTCGTGATTCTTCGCGGATGCAAAGCTGTTTGGAAATGTTCACGTGGACTGGTGCAAGGTTTGGAAATACATCATCCCAATATGACCAGAAGTTTGTATGGATGCATGTTCGACTCTGCACTACGCTAGGGAGGGTGGGTTTGCTTGTGCTTGCTTCATTGACAGGAAGGCTTTTGGGCGGACGTTCGTGCCACAAATCCTGGCAAACTCATCAGTGTTTATTTACCTTTGCCAGGTTGACAAGCACCTGATAGCGGGTCCTTAGGCAAAGAGGTCCGAGGGAGGTGCACCGTGCAGCAACCTAAATGTTGGAGTTCAATCATGGCGGCTGGAACATGCTGCTGGATCTTTTGCATGTCCGGCTTCGCAGCTGTTTTTTTTTCTCAGAGGCAGCAGGGCCAGAGCGGCATTGATATGCAATCTGCCAAGCGTCAAGTTGGTGCAAGAGCAGGTCATCCCTGCTGCAACCATGCCACGTTGATGCTGCAAAGACTACAACGTTGATGCTGCAAAGACTACAGAGAGCCCTTTCAAGCCGTTTGTGCCAGTGCCAGACTCACCTTGGAGAAGTGAGTTGCCAACACAATGCGTGCGTTTGGTGTATTTCAATCAACCGCAAAGTTCAACGCACTGCATACGGCACCGTAGTTTGAAGCCGATGATGGTTCATCCTGACTTTTGCGCCTAGCTGCAGTGCTGGTCGTGACACGTGGCTTGCGATCTTCAACATGTAAGATACATGCACGTGCATGTTCCCGTACGTGGTTAAGTTGGTTGCTTTGCTGGGTCAGCTCAATTGTTGTACTCAGCGACGTAGCCATGCCCAGCTAGTGCCACGATTTGACTTGGTCTTTCACCAGAAATCAACTTAGCCCAGCTGGCCGATCTTTCGACCTTTCGGCTGGTGTCTGTCCATCATTGATGGTCCTGAACAAATACCCTTTGGGGCGTCATGAAACATGTCGAGGATATTGGCGAGCGGCAGTTGATATCTTGTGCGGCGTTTTGTGGAGATTCAGAAGCTCGTTGTGTGGTTTAGAAAGCTGCTGTCTCACTTGCAATCAATTCAAGTCACAAAAGTGGGCATGTGTCAAAGCGAGAGTTCTCTTTGACAGTTGATTGTTCAACAAGTCAAATGGACAGCGCCATGCCCGCAACCATTCCGACCGGTCCCTCAGCTTGACTCCCAAAAGGAGGGCAACAATCTTAGATTTCGCCGCTTGAATCGACCCGTGGGCCCAGTAATTAGCAATGTCCACTTTCGTTTGTGTGTGTGTGTGAGTGTGTGAGTGTGTGTTTGTGCGTGCACGTGTACATGGGCCTGTGTGGGCTGAAAGGTGTGGAACGCACATCGCCACTGCCTGTTTCTCAGGTGGACCCACCTATGGTGTGGAGCTCTGGGATGATGGCGAGGCTTCACAGTGTGGTTGCGGGAGGTTGTGCGAGGCAAGGTGTTCTTTTTGCCTGCCTTGTCAACGTATCATTGTTTCTTGTCCGGGTCTTTCTTTGCCCAAAAGTGCCCCCCCCAATTCCCACAAAAAAGAGACGACTTGGGTATGACATTGTGGACTGACTGAGGGCAGGGCCTATTTTTGTCTCTCTTTCTAGCCAACAGAAGACAATGTCGTGCACAACGTTTAGCAGAGGTTCTTCCATGGGCCGTGTTGTTTGTTTCGCTTTTTCTGCCGTCTTGGGTAGTGTGCAGCTTTGTGAATCTAGATCTTTGGCTCGTGGCACAAAGTCCGAGGTCAATCACTTTTCAGTTGTTGGTCACTTTGTCAAGGGTGCACGTTGATTCAGCACCTCTTTGCTTCCAATGGTTTTCAGGTGGCTGGCTGTCCCTCGTCCCTCGACCGGCCAGGACAGTCCGGTCCGAGAAGACAGCCCCTCCCGGCCCTCGTGGGCTGCCCAAGATGAGCCGAGACCCGGGCGTCGGGTTTCAGGGGATCTCGGCAAAAGTTGGCTAGAACATAGGACTCCAATTGCTCCATCCTTTGCACCTGGGCACGAGAGGAGAGTTGCTTTGCAGTGGCTGAGGGACAGAAACCAGCGGATATTGGGAGTATTCAATGCTAACAGCCATGCTGAGAGACGGTTCAAAGATGTCTGGCACACAAGGTTGCATGCATGTGCCAGGTGATTGCAACGTGCTTAAGTATTTGTCCATTCCATTGTCACCACTGTCACAGGTGCTGCCGTTTTGAGCTTCAGTCCCTACACTGAGCAACGTGCAGAGCGACCTCAGATGGGGAAAAGCGAACTTGGAAGGACTCTTTCTTCGAAGTTCCTTATGTTATTCGTATGAAGGATATTGAAGGATCTGTGTGCCCTTGCTGGCCTTTGCGAGGGTCGACCATTTGGACATGAGCATTTGTCCTGGGCAAGGCATTGCTGCTTTTGAGTGAACGGGGATGGTATGGAATAGTTGAGGAGCGTTTAGGCCACCGTGAACAGCTTGAAAGCGGCCAAAGACCGTTGCCCGCGCTCACAACTGTTGCCAACTCTGCGAGCCGAGTCATACCACTCCGCCAAACATGTCCTCGAAACGGGCTCATATTTCTGCGACGGATGGGAAGCTGTAGCCGGACAAGCCAGTTGTTCAGTGGCACCCTTTTCCCCTAAAGGGTTCGGTTTTTCTAGCAGGGTCACTGAGCAACTGGATAGTGTCATCTACTTGTCCACCATGATTTGTGGATGCAGGTGAAATAATGGATACCCGATACCCAAGTGATGTTTGGATAGTGGGATATTGGAAGTGACTGTCCTTGGTCAGACGGCCTGCTCCCACGTATTCCCCTTGTAGGTTTAGGAAAACAGTTTAAATCGTGTAGATGCAGATACCTGCCTGTCCTTTGCTAGGGATGGAGTGTTGGAATCACAGGACTCTATCAAACGACCCTGACCGCTTCAACCAAGAATCCAAAGAATAATTGTGTGGTATGGTTTTGTCAAAACCGGGGTTACTGTTAGGTTCACGACAGGATCCGCTCACCTGAAGCATATGGGAGGTGTCAATGTGCTGCTTCATCCCGAGATCAAGTCAGCTGAGGTTCCACTTGTCGGGAGAGCCAGTTGGCGCCTGAGTCGGAGAGGCCGTTGCCTTCAAGCGATTTTTCTGGGATCGCTTTCTTGTTTCTTTCTTTGATTCTTTCTTCCTTTATCTCTTTCCTTTATGTTCCTTCCTTTTTTCCTTAATTTCTTTGTTTGTTTTAGCATTCAGGTCTATGTTCGCATGTGCGTTTTGCTGGTTTCTCTCAGCTTCCACGGGCTGGTGGGCAGTGCTGCGACGCCCGAGGTCAAGCAGCGCTTGGCCCTGGGGCGCAAGGAAGGCCCGCGCCGCTGGGATGCTTCCGGACCAGTGGGCATGTTGAAAGGGAACCAAAAGGACAACCGCCATTTTTGGAGTGCCCCTAGTTTGAGACACCCAGTTGGCTTCATTATTAAGCAAAGCCCAACATCAAGCCAACATGTGGAAGGTGCGTTTTGGACATACGCATCCGGGACATTCACAAATGGAAGACCCAGCTGCGGCTGAGGTGCAGCATTTGGGCAGATAGCACCTAGCCCCGTGCTTCTTGCAGGCATGGCGAGGAAGCAAGAGCCGCAGGGGCCTGTGTCCTTGCGGCAGGCGATGGGACATGGGCCGAAGGGTTGGCGGCTTCACGCTGCTCCATGAAAATGGTGTGGCTGGGGTGCATGGTCCGCTGTGCTGTGCGTCAAATGACGACAATGACGACATTGTGCTTGCCCGGAACTAGAGCCTCTGAGCACATTAGGAAATGGAGGAATTATGATACTTAGAATCTTTTGGCTGATTTCTTTGGGCTCTCATGGAGGGCTTTGCAGAAGCCAATGTGGCAGTAACTCTTCTAGCCCTTAGGGATTCTCAGCGTGCTTGATGGAAATTTCACAGACGCAAAATAGAACAGGTATTGCAAGTCAGCGTTTTCAGCGGGGCTAGATATCTTATCTTCTAATACGCTTGTTTGAGAAATCTCAGCACTTCAACCAAACCGACAGCGTCTTTTCTGCAGGGCTGACCGCCCTTTTCTTTGTCTTCGACACCCTCCAAAACCAGCATGGGTCAAACACACGTCGGAGTGGCGGACCCTGAATGTGAATTCTTGCTGGACCCCTCAGTGATGTCTTATACAATACCGGCGCTTTCTTCTTTGGTTGGACCACAATACTCCTTGACACTTTTTGTGATACTGGCTTCTTGACAAGCCACTTGCTTCCCTAGATTCAGGACTCATTGATTGGAGAGATCACCGGGAAACGCTCAAGTTCAGACTCCCAGTGAGACCAAGCGAGACCAAGAGCAACGCTTAGACACAGCCAATGATCCCACGAGAGCATACGAGAGCAACAATCATTCTTCGGAACGCATTCGTCAGATGGGCCCTGCGTGCCAGGGCCGCCGTGCAGTTTCCATGCCCGAGGCACCCACGCGTGGGTGCTCAGTGACGCTGGGAAGGCGAGCAGTGGTGCCAAAATTTGGCTCCGTGCCAAAACCAGGGGAGCCAAGGCTTCTGGTGTTGTTTGACCACGACATTTGAAGCAAAATGAAAGAAGACAGAGGTGAATCCACGTTCTTCCACTCGAATTGCCACTGGTATCACTCGAACTTGATTGGCTTAGTCCCTCAGGAGCCTCAGCAAGGAAGGCTTTGACTTTACCTGAGTTTTTGTTGCAAGACAAGCTAGGTTACCTATCCACTCGAACCATAGTGAATCCATGTGTAATCCTCAGACGTATGTCTGCTTGGCTGCGCTTGTGGCCTTTTTCGTCCACTTCTTTGCTTTTCTGTCCTTCTTCCTGCTGTTGGCCCATTGGCCACCTGCTCTACTGGCAGTCTACTTTGCGCCGTTATCCGTCCGCTTCTTCGTGCTCCTCCCGTAAACCCCAAAGCTTGGTTCCCCTGTGACTGTTGAGGGGTTGCCCGCGGAATCCTGCTATATATATATATATTACCACGATACAATAATTCTATTTATGAGCCGGTTGAATCCTGTTTTTGGTTTTTGCCGTGCTAAAACACAAAAACAAGCCACGATTTTACATTGGATCACCCACCAAACCCTCTCTGTTTCAATTTTGAAACTGCCTCCACAATCTTGCGCTGGTAGGCTTGCAACTGCAGCACGTGCAGGCAGGACGCAGCTTTGTGTTTGTGTTTGCGTGACCAGGGCTTTGAACCATCTGGGGCATAGCCAACGTAGATTATGGTAACGGTGTGTTGTACTTGCGCAGTGTACAAGTACGATGTGCAGCACGGCCCAGAAAGACTGCATGTTGCATCAACAACCGCACATGTACAGGTTGTTTGCATTCCGTTCTTGCATGGGTAGTGTGTCGACAATTGTTGCACACACGCAAATGTTCACCACGCTGTTGAATGAGCAATGCATTGGAGCTTGTTACTGTTACACCTTCGAAATCATATATGGTTTACAGTCATACAACCTTTGCATCGTTTTTTCTTGGATGTTGGCGGGTCATGGCCGTACAGAGCCTTGAGAGGCATTAGGTGGCGGAGACATGGATTGTTTAACATGGATGTTGCAACATGGTGGGCAACATGATGCCTTCCATTAGTGGCCCTCACGATTTGTGGGGTCCACAAATGCATCTAAATGCGTGTCTGCTTCACTTGAATGCGTCGCCTCGTGCTGCAACCCAAGAAAGTAGACCTCAAGCAAAATATAGTCATGAGTGGTGCAAAGATGCGTCTCACGGTACGCACGGGTCGCAACGTGTGCATTTGCAGCGCTGTTCTTCACATCGCACAGGCTTTGGGCCAGGGGCTGCACATTGCGAACTAACTTGGGAGCATTTCGAACCACGTGGAACCCCTTTGACTCAGCCTTTGACTACTCTTTGAGCTGTGCACTATGCAGTCGCATGATTACCGTGGTGCATGTTTGGAGGGAACTACAATCAAGCCCTTAGGAACACAAAAGAAGGAACTGCGCATTGTCAGCCACAACCGTGAAAGCTGGAACTCAGATGGAACAGGCTAGAGTTCCATCTCTCGCCCTATCCTGGAATTCGCACATGTGTCGGGCAAGGCTCCGACCACTTGGGCGGCGCTGCAGCGCTGGTGAGGGATGGCAATGCCAGCGACTCAGCTCGCTCGCCGGCTGTCCCAGTTTCTTCTCGGGCCAACTGCGAGCCTTGCAGTTTTTGCTTTCCCATTGTTTGGGCCATTAAGTCGTGCTTGCCAATAGCATGCCAATAGCTTTGGTTGGAGTTTCTGTCCGGGTGATTTGGACGCGTGGCTTGGCTTCTTTTTAGCGATTCGCTTGGCAACAAGAGCCAGCACATGTTGCTGAGGGGCTTGCTGACAAAATGCCCGAAAGCACAGGACAACATGAACAGCAGAAGCAGCAATGCCAGGATAATCCTGGCATTTATTCGACCTGGTGAGAAAGGCAGTCGTATCAAGCGCGTCTTTTGCATGGCATGGGCCTCCGTTTCAGCTGCGTTTCACTGGTACAAGACAAGAAGGCCAGAGGAGGGGGCCAATGAAGCTTTTACAATGAATATGGGAAGCTCTCAGACCAGATCGGCGCTTCCAACACTGTTTTGCGTTGTCAATTGAGCCAAACTAAGTCTCCAGTTTTGTCGCCCGCCGTCTTGCCTTCATATATGCAGAATACTTATGAAAAGAGGGGGACCCCTGCAAAGGAAGGGGATCCATTCGATTCCTTACAGAGGGCCAGAAGGCCTCCGTTTTGGACACCCCAGTTGTTGAACGAAGTTTCAATATTAGTGTCAGGACTTGTCGGGCCTCTTAAATGGCTTTTTCATGCTTTCCAAAATTGGAGTGGCAATCAACAACAGTTGTTTTTTTTCTGACACGCACCCACACACACACACCTGCCCATTTGGAATCTGGGGATCCTGTGTTTGCCGTGGTTGTGCAAATTGTACGTCGTGCCTTGCAGACGAATTGCATGAGTTGGCCGTTCATCGAGCATTGGAACCACTTGGAATGCGTGGACACCGGTATGTGTCAAAACTAACGATGCTTTGTGGGACAACCTTCAAAGCAAGTCCAAAGTCAACTCAGCAAGTTGGGAGTACCCTTAGCTTTGACACATCCGTACCTCGGTCACCACTCCAATTTTCACTGCAGGCGCCATCGCTCATGTGCGGGCCAGGCGCATTCGTTGTCCCGAGGGTCTTGGGTCCCCAGGTCTTCAAGGGCTTGGCTTAAGCTGAAGCTTGCTTCAAGACCTGGAAGAAGTCTGCCACTTTTGCGGTGTTCGGCCAATGTCCTCTTACTTTCTTGACAAAGGACTGTAGCCGATCTCCCGGCTAGCGTGTCCGAATACGGAAGCCAACCGCGGTCTTTACTCATCCTTCCCTTTGATTGCGTTTGGAGTCAGCGAAGGCGTTGAAAAGCCACGCCGACTCTGTGGGGGAGATCTATTCTTTTGCCCGTGCGAAAGGTTGGGGAACCCCTTGTGCCATTGGGGCTAAAAGCAAGAATACCAGGAAACCAACCGTTTGAACCATGTTAAGAACCACTGTGAGCATGGACGAAACAATCGATTCTCGCTCAGCCTTGCTGTTTGTTTCCGGCAAAATGGTTGATGTCAAAAGCAACCCATGCTTGTGTCTGTCATCTTGTTGGGCCCATCCAATATCTTGCTTTAAATGTGTTTCATGTTTCTTTGGCTTCCTGTTAAAACCACTCCAAAGAAAGGGGCAACCTCAACAAAAGCCACACCCACGTGGGAGCACATGATCGACATGACGTCCCCCCGCCCCCGGTTCGGCTCGATGCAGCGGCGGCCAGTGACCAGCACCACTCCTCCGGCCTGGTGCGACCGCCGACCGCCGGAAAGCTCCGGGTCTTCCAGGCATGGGCTGGAGCGGAGGGTCGACAGTCCGAAGTAGTGACTGTGTGTGTGTGTCTCCGTTCGTTGGTTCTTTCGTTCATTCGCTTGTTGATTCGTGTGTTTGCTTGTTTGCTTGTTTTTTTTTTTTTTGTGTTTGTGTTTGTGCTCCCAGTGTTTTGCATTGGGTTGCTTTCTTTTTTGTGCGTGTTTATGTGTGGAGCTGCCCTCTTCACCTATGTGGGTCCCAGCCTGGGCTCACCCCACATGTTTTTGTGAACCATTTCGAAGGTTCTTCAGAAAAGTGGTCTTCAGCAAGCACCCACTCTGTTTGACCTCCGATCAAAGTTTCTCCACGGAATTTCCCTGGAAGGAAGGACTTGCTCCATTGCTCTTGTCACCCCCAAGGCGGACGCTCAGAGGTTTGTCCTCTAAGAATCAGCCTTTCTGTAGCTCACATTTTGAGCTACCGCACTCTTTTCGGCAACGTGAGGACTATCACCAGCGTCTCCAGCGTGCTGCGGCGCACTAGCGCTTGGAGCTGATGATGGGTTTGTCTCTAATGGGACACCCACAAATGGCAGTCACAAAAACAGACGCACACGTGGAGAGAATACTGGGCTCCAGAGACTCCCAAAAGGAGGCTGCATTGCCGGCTGCACGCCAATGTTCAGGAGAGTTGTAGACGTGCCACCTTTTGCACGGCTGTCTCGTTGGTCCACGGGAGCTAACCAACCCAAGGGGTCCATGTTCAAGAGCTGCCAGGGCGGAACTCAACAACCAAAATGTGACATCACAACCGCTTTCCAATGTTGGGCGGCACTCTGCAAGAGTCAGAGTTGCTGAGGTCCCCGCCTCCGCCATCGACTAAAGCTGGTTCCTTTTTTCCTTTCCTCCGCGACCACAGCGACTTCCGATCGATGGCGAAGCCCTTGAGTCCATGTCCTGATAGTGAGTTGAATGGCGTCAGCGATCAAGCTTGCTTGGCAACATTCACGACTACTGCCTTGGGCATGGACAAGGTGTTCTTTCCCTGCGAATCATGCAGAACGGACACGCGTCCTTGTTTCCCAGACCCGCAGTTCAACTACGTTTTCTCCAGCAATGGAAGCTGACAGAAGGGTTTCCGGATGTTGTCATTGACACATGACATGGCCCCGCCCCCCCAAGTAAAGTCTGGAAGGGGGGGGAAGTATGGAAGGAGAGTCCCATGGTTTCCTTGTGGCCCCTTGTTGCTTGAAACAAATATTCCAAGCCACGCAAACCAATGAGGCCCCATCTTCGGTGTCCACTTCGGCGCCTGGTTCCACCGCTGGATTCCGCTCGCTGGAGAGGGCGCCTGTTGAGCGCAAGTGGGCAAACGGGCTGGACGATTTCCATGACACTTGAAGCTTGCCTGGGCATTAAACTGAACCTTGGCAGGAACGCTGGCGTTTCCTTGATTTGTAGTCTTGCTTCCTAGCTTGTTTCTCTTGCTTGCTTGCTTGCTTGCTTGCTTGCTTGCTTGCTTGCTTGCTTGCTTGCTTGCTTGCTTGCTTGCTTGCTTGCTTGCTTGCTTGCTTGCTTGCTTGCTTGCTTGCTTGCTTGCTTGCTTGCTTGCTTGCTTGCTTGCTTGCTTGCTTGCAATGGCTTTCATCTCGCACCCTTTTGGTGTTGGCAGTCCCGGGATTCTGCGATTTGCCGGAGTTAGATAGTGCAGGGAATTGCACGCTCGTGCGATTTGTGCATAACACAATTAGTACACCCAATTTGGTGCCTTCATTTCTGATGCTGAGAAGATGCGTTCGTTGGGGTGATGTGGAGCTTCGTCATGCAAATCAATAGATATCCCCTGGCAATCCTTCAGGAATAGACAGGCCAGAAAAAATGTGTTCAATGAGGATTTGTTTGGAGACAATTTTGCAATGGCCCTTTTCAGCATTGCAACGATGCTCCTATTTGGGACATTTGAAACTGTTATGACTTGGCAGCAGCAGCAACAGCAGCAGCAGGAACAGCTGCAACAGGCATCGCAGAAACAACAAACTGCCAAACAGACAGACGAAGAGAGGAAGACCGAGACAAAGGCAGAGTTAGAGATTGAGGCTGTCAGAAAGGCAGGCAGGCAGGCACACAGACAGACACACACAGACACCGACACAGACACAGACACAGTCAGAGACACAGACACAGTTACAGACGACAGGCATACAGGCATAGAGGCAGTCAGGCAGTCAGGCAGGCAAACAGGCGAACAGGCAAGCAAACAAAGAAACAAGCAAACAATCGAACAAGCAGGCCAGCCAGCAAGAAAGCAAGCAGGCATGAAGGTAGGCAAGCCAGGGAACAAGCAAGTGCGGACGGACACAAAGAAGAGACACACACACACGCACACATTCGCACAAGCACAGACCATCCAGCGACAAGAACAGAAGAGCAGCAACCAGAGGAAACAGGCAGCGACAGAGTGCACAAAAGCGACTCAGGCTTAATCGCGGGTTTGCGACTCTCCGTCGCAGGATCGCCTTGGAGGCTAGGCCCTCAGACCTGAGGCAGAGGGGGAGGACAGTCCAGGTTGGGCCTGAAACAGACAAATTGATTAACAGACAAGCAAGCACGTGCAAGCAATGTATCTGTGTTTGTTGACAGCTTTTGGTCGGGGACGCTTGAGTCTTCATCGAGGGGAAAGAGGGTGCTTTGCAGTATTGTCAAACTGGCGAAAGCTTTGACTTGCCTTCTCCGGACGGCAGGGCTTTTTTTCCTGCCCAAATACACATACCCCCCTTCCAAAATGAGCTGTATGCAATCCGTGGTACGCCAACGCAATCCGGACTGGATTGGAACTGCCGTTGGCTCCCACCCAGCCACCCTCTAAGGCACGAGCAACCGCGGAGATGTAGCTGCGGCGGCCCTGGGGCTGCGGGAAGTTCGGATGAGATCTTTCCAAGTGGCAAAGGTGTCGCCTTGGCTTCCATTTAAACTGGTTGGCAGGCTGCGGAAAGCATTGCTTCACACACATTCAAGGGTTAAGCTGCAATAGACGAGCATGCTGCAACTGCCCAACACGCAAGGGTGTGTCCCATTGTTCGGACCATTTGAGCAGTTTGTCCTGGGGAAAATCTGTGGTGGTAGCGCTTGTGGCAGCTTTGAGAGGGTTTTGTGCTTAAAGAGCTCGTGAGTTGTGTTTACAATGAATCCGCCATCCAGTATCCTTGGTTGCAGACATGCTTTGACAACAGCCAGGCTTCTATACTGAAGAACTGGCATTGATTGGCATCGGCCAATGCAAATGAAGGGACGTTTCCCCAGTTGACCAAAGTGTCTGAAGGGAACAAGTTCTATGATCCCTCAGGCTGCCTCAAACTGAAGGTGACTCTTGGAGATTTGATTCGCAAATGGCTCCACATGCAACCAAAAAGGCACATGGTTCATGGGTCAGGGAGATGACAGGTAATGCCGACCCGGATAAATTTGTCCAGGTTGGATCAAACTCTCGGTGTATAAATCATACTAATTTTCTTTCGCGCGGTTGGACTTGTTTCTTTGCGAGTCATCGATCAGCTTCCTTCAATCAGGTGCCAAGATTGGGGGAAGCTTTGGCTTCATCCGGCTTTCAGAACATTGTACACTTTGTTTGCAAGGATGCCTGGGCTCCTTCGCTGAGGTTTGTGTGCGCCTTCGACCGGGAGCACAGGAGCGGAAAGAGGGGCCTTGAACACAGATCCTCCTTGTAGGTATATTATATGAGAATGCGGTCTTGACCCCCGCTTCCAGATATTCAATTCACAGCGAGACTCTTCTCAGGAATGGTTGAAATGTCGCTTTCAAAGATCAAGAAAGATGATTCGGGTTTTGTATGGGTGGGTGGCTGGGTGGGTGGGTGGGTGGGTGGGTGGGCTGTGGCCCGCCCGATCGGACCGCCACTGAAGGGATATCCATCCTTCCACGCTAATGTTTGTCCCTGCGCACTTGGCATTTCGTGTTCAATCAGCCTTTTCCAATCCCAGTTGCCCAGTGGCGCCTTTTTTTCCTTGTCTGGAAGGGATCCCCTTTAATTTCAACCAACCAACAAGGATGCCCTTTTTTGCCATTTCCACTGGGCATCCGAGCAATTGAGTTTCTGTCTTTCCATTTCACCAGCTCCTGTCAAGTCTTACCTGGGCCTTGGGGCTCTTCTAGGGCTATCTGAGAGGTGGACACCATTTGAGTATTTGAGTGGTGCTGGTGATGCAAGCTGTTGTGAGGGAGACATTCAAATTTGCACGTATGTGATTGCACTGCTATGTTTCGGAGATGGATGGCTTGCATCAGCTACTCACCTCACCTGGCTTGAAGACCTATGGACCTTGAGCCACCTATTGCCTCGGGAAGCTTTCCACGAATATGGCATTCCAGGAGGAACGCTGCTGCGAGGTCGGCAGAGATCACGCCGTGAGGCCATGACATAAACCTGGAGTACCAAAGTGGGACCCCAAAACAATCACGTTTGAGCGCTGCTCAGATGGTGTCATATCATGGAAGATCACCCACCTTAAGAGACAAAGTCCGTGATCCAATGCGAAGTTTGCGAACAGGTGACGGACACAAACCTGGTTTTGACAAATTTTCTCTACGTTTGTGATTGATCCCTGGGCAGGCGTCCCATACCTAGACATTCGTTCCACGCGCGGCCGAGCCTCACTGCGTAGGCTGCGACAGATCGGAAGCAGATATGACTCCCTCGGAGAGGCGCGATTGTTGCAGATTGGCGGCCGCCGCAAAGTCCAGAAAGGAACCTTTTCTTCCTTCTGTTTTCAGTGACTATCCCTGTGAACTCGACTTGTCAACTCAACCAGCAAAGTATTGGTATACTTGAGTTCCAGCGGCCACTGTGTTTGACCAGCTGACAGGTGTGTATTTATGTACTTGTGTGCAAGAACAATTCAGCAGCCCACTGGTTATGCGGTCTGATGACAGCACGACAGCCTGCGAGGCCCAATACCAGTTTGACCATGTCTTTCCAGAGGAGACGTCGCAAGAGGAGGCGCTGGCCTGCATGTTTGGAGGATTTCCCATAAATCCTTTCTGGGTGGTTCAAAATGGAATCAATCCGCAAGATCCTATGCCAAAAGTTAGTGGTTTCCCTTGTTGTGGGTGGTGTCGCACTTTGGCATTCATTGCGGATTACACTACCAGAACAAAAGTTGCCCCTCTTGGGCCTTCCTAGAAACCGCAACCCTTTCCCCCTAGAATCCTGCAAGCTTTTGCTCAATTGCGCGGCCGAGTTTCCACACTCCGAAGCCTTTAACGTATTTTGAACTTACAGGGGGGTGACGATTGACGGTTTTTCGGCTGCCACACAAAACGGAGTTGCAATTCGATCCGCAGGGAATCCACATGACTTTGCAAAAGCAAACAAGAGGCACAAGCTTTTGTCCTCCTGGAGTCGGATTTGGGACTCCCCCAGTTTGAACAATTCATCCTTGTATTTGCTGCGCACTCGCCCAGTCAGCCTTAGGTGTTTGCTTTTTCTTTTGAGAAGTCCCCTGATTTAGGAATCCGGCTTCTTCATGTCCAGCTTAAAATCCAAATGGTCCAGGCTGTTCCAAGCCAATCTCGAATCTTTCTCTTGGGTCACGAAAGGGATCCACTTTGTGCGTTTGTAGAGGTTCCAATGGAGATTATGGAGACTTGGCCGACCCTTTGTTTTGAACAAGTCAGTTTTGGAGCGTTCAACCTAGGCCGGGAAGCAATCTTGAACCCAATCGGCCCTATCCCTGATGTTTGCATGGGGATTGGTGGGATAATGGCTCACCTTACAGTCGCAGACTGCTACGTGTACGCATACAAATTGGCTCATTATCATCATCGTCATCATCATCATCCTACAACTACTACAACTACTACAACAACTACTACTACGACAAATGATAATAATGATAATAATGATAATGAGTTGATGATGACAATGCTAATAATAGCAATACATAGTAGTAGTTGTTTTAACTGGTTTTACCAATACTAATATTGATACTAACACCAATGCTAATTCTACTACTAATGCTATACCCTCACCACTGCAAATGCTAATGCTACTGTGACTACTACTACTACTACTACTACTACTACTAATAATAATAATAATACTAATGATAGTCACGATATAATTGTAAATCACATTCGAGAACAATGATCATCATAACAAGTTCATATACATACACATATGTATTGTTAAACTTTACATACTACGCGACAGATGGTGCGAGTTTTATCTTTCAGACTTGTCCCTTTAGAGCAAGCTTTCTTTGCCCAAAGCGGCGGCGCTTGGCAGGTGTTTACAGCTGCAGTGGCGCCGATTTGTGAGGTGCGGCTGCTGAGGGCCGTTGTCCCGGCTTCTTTTTGGGACAGGGGTTCCGTGGTTAAGAATCAAGTACAGAGTACAGAGTACAGAGTACAGTGTGGTTTGGGGTAGCACGCTGACATCGTAGGCTGGTGTTGCAGCGAATGAGTTGTTGCCTGCTCAGTCAGCCTCTTTTTGCACCTGCTTAGATTGCAGCCTGCTCTTTCAGAAGCAGCCCGACTTCTACCGCGGGTATGGGTCGATGCTTGAGGGTTCTGTTGTCATACATGGCCTGACAGAGTTTGAGCTGTGACATGTGGCTGCATTTTGGCTGGGCGATGGGAGTTTAGGACGGGATACTATCAGACAGAGCCATCATGTTTATGTGTTGCAGGGAGCTACGGAATGGTACGCACGTGTTTGTGTCTGTTTCTGATGGTTTTCAATTGAACACCTCTGGGCCAGATGGCGTTTTACCTCGATGGTCTCTCTTGGCCCCGAACCCGTCACCTGGATCGTTTGTCATAATATGTTTTGGCTTGGCTGCTTCCGTGTGTGAACGCTCCAAAATCATTGACCAGAGAGCCAATCTGAACATGTGAGCAACTGCCACCATTCGACTATGTAGCAATCAACGGCCGTAGCTCAATGAGTACATCAGGCAGTGCTGAGTGGCTACAACGGCGCAGTGATCGCATACGGCCGGAAGCCCACAGATTTGGAGACATATCAAGTCCTGTGGCTGCGGTTAGGCCATGTACAAGTAGGTAGCACGGCTGGCCCACGGACATTGACAATGATTTCAGCATGGAACACAATCATACGTTCCACTGGGTTGTTTCCATCCTGGGGGTTTTGAAAGAGCTGGCATGTCTTCCTTTTACGGCGCAGTGACGCCTCTCAGCTGCGTTTGCTGCGAAACCAAGGCCAGACGGGCTCGGGCAAGACCCACACAGTGGTGGGCAATGCGAAGCCGGACGCTCAAGTGGAAGCCAACGAGCAGTTTCTGCAAGTGGGGCAGTGGATTTATTTGGTCAGCAATGGTTGTCCGCTGTGCTTCGATGTCCACGTTGCCATCAAACACAGCGTTTGGAAGAGCACCTGCCATAGATTGGGCAATGCCTTGATGGGTTTGGACCACCCCTGGTTGTGGTTGGTTTACTGGTAGCATTCACGAACTCCAACCTGCAGAAGGTGTGCTCAAGGACGAAGGGTGCGGGAAAAAATCTCTAGGGATCTGCCTAAGGTCTGCCTAACCAAGATCATCAAACTCGAACAACTGAAGAGAACGGTTGGAGGCCCACCTCACAAAGAGCATTTCCCGGTGCTTTGAAGCTCAAAGGAAATCAAGTCTCTGGGAATTGAAGCAAATTCAGGGAGTGCCCTGTAGCGCCCTGGGACCCACGAAACCGGCAACAAGGGTACCCTCAACAAAATACAGCTTCTCGAAGTGTGTGCAGCAAGTTCCTCAGGCTTCGGGGCGTGGCCCCCCGTGCCATCCACTGCATCTTCCAGGGGCTGGAGCAGAGCGCCTCGGCCGGATACGGCCTCTCTTCCAGGAGATAAGGGTTTGTCTGAAAATTGAACCCTCCCGGGATGGTTTTGAAAGAGAGAGCAACAGGAAGCCCACCACCATGAGGTTTCTGAGGAACATCAACAATTACCGTGGATGGAGAAATGCAATTTGGACCAGTTGGTAGGTGGCTTCTATATCCCAGCTTTTGTAGGGTTTCATCTATCCCAGCAATGCTCAATGATGCAGCAATGACAATTGCTGTAGATGTTGCCACAATCCACGCCAGGCACCAGTTGGGATGAGTGAAACCCCATGAATACTGGTTGACAAGCCACCAACCCCAGACTCACACTTCGCACCTCGAATTGGTGGTTTGTCAACCAGCACTAGGGGTTCAGTCATCCCAACTGGCGTGGCAGGCCTGAAACAAATTGGGACCAGCTCCGGAAGGCAGGCAGTTTCCCTCAAAGTTATCAGGAGCACATGCACCCGGGTCTAAGTACCTTAATATGTGCTTCAACGCACCAGAATGCCAACCCGTGCAAGAAGTATGGATGCTGGCGATTCTTTCCATCCAGACGATTGCTTTGTTGGGGTTCCCAAACATGTAGCAGGGGTGTCCCTTAACTACCCCCGTTTGGAAGATAACGCCTGGACACAAATTTTCGCTCTTCCTCATCCTTCTAGCTCTGACTGTAGGTGACGTCCATCAAATGCCTTCGGTTCTTCTTCAAGCAAGCATTAATTAGATTTGACACCATACTGACATTCCCTGGAATTCCAAGGCGCAATCTGGTCCGTGGACGTCTCAGTGCTAGAGATCTACAACGAGCGCGCCGGGAGCACTCAGCCTTTTTGCCAGTGTTCAACACTGAAGAAGGGTTATGCTTTTTATGTGACAGTTTCATTTGTGTTTCCTGCTGTAGGTAGTTATTTATAAGACTAGTATGTTGCTTCATTGCATTTAAATTAGGATTACTATTATCATTAAAGCGTGTTATACGTCTGTTATTTATTTGTGTGTCTTTAGCCTTGTACTCTTGTTGGTAATGCTAGTACTACAATTAAGGAAAGGGACAGCAACAAACATCGCTTTTTCGCTCACGTGGAACATGACAGACAGATCTCAGAAACATGGCTGCTTAACCTTGGCCCCCAGGGCCATTTTTTTGGGGAATGATAGATGGGCGCGTCGGTGCGTCATGGACCATGAAAGGAAAACTCGTTTTTTTTCCGGGTACCCCCAGTTTCCAGTTTGGAGACCCATATTCCGGTTGCCTCGCACTTTGCGTAACCGAAAAGTTGTCTGTGGAAGGAAGATACCTGGCTTCTTTGCGTGACTGCCGTGTGCCTTGAGGTCAGGGACCTCCTGAGCCCCGGCAACGTCTCACATGCGCGCGACTCAACTGGCCCAGTCAGACCCACGAGGGAGGCACTCACCCCTGGTTCCCATGTAGTTTGGAACTGCGTTCTTGGTTGTCAACCGAATTCCACGAAGGGGGGAGGCCCGCCCTGCGAACGTTTGAAGGGCGCCTGGTTGTGGCTGGTGTTTGTGGCTGGTGTGAACAATTCAGAAAGCTTCATGCAAGTTGGAGCGTTTCAAAAATAGGAGCCCTTTCTGGGAGCCTGGTTCAAGCTGACCTACTTTCAAAGGGAACCAATTGGGGACCATAATGTTGACAACCACCGCGTAGCGATGTGCGTTTGTTTGTGACAGTAAGTGCAATCTGTGCAACACTGCGCGCAACGGAAGGATAGAGAGCTTCTTGGAGACCATGTTTGGGCTTTGGAATCACTAGATTCCACAGCTGGCGCCGAAATGGGTGTATCTCCGTTCGCATGCCTTAACATCGATTCGGTTGAATCCGTTTCTTTACTCGGAGTTGCATCACGAAGGGCGCACGTGCATCTGCTAAAGCAAGCACATGGGCAGCGCAGAAGCCCAGTTTCAAATGCATCCTGCTTAGGGTGCATGCTGCATTGCATTCCTTTGCATGCATGTTGTTCCCCTGTCGCTCTTTATTGCTCCCTTCCTGCTTCCTTTGTGGCTTTGTGCCCCAATGATTTTATGCCCACAGGGCTCTCCTGCTGGACAGGCCCAAGATGCTTGGCGAAAAACATGGAACGTTTGTAGTTGCAACAGACACAATAGGCACAATAGACACAATGTCCATGGCTATGCGGCGGCAATCCTACCATGCATCAGAACCAGGGGGCAGACGTTGGAATTCAACGCTGATGCGATGGTCTCCCGTGGGGCCAAGCATAGGCACAGGTGGCTCGATGGTGCATAGGTAAAGCGGGACACAATGAACCTTGCTACATGGGATGGACTCTAGCTTGGACCCAGGTAGAGGTCCACGAAGTGCGCAGCGAGCATGAAGGCACCGTGGCGCTTCGGTCTAGCCTTGAATCTTTAAACTTTCGCAGCATGACTGACAAACTGTAGTCACTTCAACTAAGCCAGATTGAGCACAGCTCAAGAATACAACGAAAGAGTTGTGACTGCAAGCAAGAGCATGATCTGTCCCAGGATGCATGGGTTTGCAGGTGGACTCTGAGAATTGTGGAACGTGGGATTCCACAAAACGGGTTAGGTGCCCAAAGGAAACCAAAAGGAACCACTGCTCTGTGTAGGGTCTGATTAGATTCCAGTTTCTGGAAACACCCTTGCAGAATGCCTTCCAGGTTGATTGGCACTTTCGCCACCCAAGGAAGCCACACTTCCCCAAATTCGATCAATAGGGCAGAGGCTTTATTCTTGCAAGGGAACGGAGAGTCTGCCCCTGGTCCCGAGCCAGTCAAAAGCTCTACCGCCAGGAATTTGTAGCTTCCGGTGCCCAGACGCGGTGAGGCGGCAGGCGGATACGGGCAGAGGGTCAGTCGCTGGTTGTGTTGGTTCTGTTGCGACTGGGTCGCATCGATTCAATCGAAACAGCATTGACTAGCGTCCCTGCAGTTGCAGCGCAAAAGCACAACAAGCGAATTGGGGGAAGCAGCGAAGAAGCCGCACATTCGCGGATGTTTGTCTGAGTCTGGGCTGCTCTCCGAGATTGTCCCAGCCAAGGATTCCATCATCTTCCCACGAAGTTGTTGTCAAGGAGTCGCAGGATCAAGAGTATGAGGGTGTTCGGAAAATGCATGCTTTTATTTAGAGGGATAGTCGTTTAGAAAACCAATCATCCACATGCATGGCGATACTGCATATTTACCATGCCACTTGATGGAAAACAACATGTGCAGCCAAACACGGACTTAGATTCACCGCCTTGCCCCGTGAACCGCAACAGTTTGAGGACTGCTGATGGCTCCCCAGTCCTTCATTGGAAGCTCAGTTTCGATGGTCCAAAGGACCCCGGTCATTCCCAGCTTAGCTCTCCCAGAGGATTCCAACAGCACCAGAGTTGGAGCCATGGTAAGAGGAGACATGGGAAAGGCATAGTGCTTGAAGGTCTTTGAGAGCCCCGAATGCTACACATAGTCCCAAGAAGTTAATAGTCACAGACAGCTACCAACTGACCGGCTTCTCTTTCAGCTCGAACCACTCCAAGGAGTGGACCCCGTGAATCCTCGGACCGGCGACCAGATTGAATTGGGCTTTCCAGGCCCAGACGCCGGAAGACGCATTGGCAGCGCTGGCGGAGGGCATGAAGCGCCGGGCACTGCCGGCATGTGGCGTAGGGACTTGGACCCCCAAAATGGCTTCGGATTTCTTTTTGGTTTCCCCTTGAATCCAATCTGACACGCATAACTACCATCAAAAGAGCACAAGTGAGGCAACGCGGCGCAACAAAACCACAAAATTAAAAGAACAAGGGCACCCGAGGCACCCAGGGGTACCTGCATCCAGTGCCAGCCGGGTCACCCTGGCCACCCGATACCCGCCCGCCCCCACACGGTTTATGAAACTGGCAAGCCGCAACCAGCCATCCCCATCCCGACTGTTCCCCCAACTGCCCTTTGACATGGCAATGGGAGGCGCTGGCCGAGGCTGCAAAGGTTTGTCGTTTGGTCTGAGTATGCGCACATATTCTACACAGAATGGCCATGCCTGCAAAAAGCGTTCTTATCAACGTTTATCAACTAGCCTTTTTCCTTTTCTCACTCACTCATTTACTGACTCGCTCACTCAATCAGCCATTGCACAACTCACGGCATGCAATAGACATGTTTGTGAACTCAATGACTCAATGTGCGTTGACGACGACAGAGAAGGGAGGTTCTTGTGACCTGGTGTCAAAAAGGGATGAATGGATTCTGCGTGCACAGCCGCGTTCTTTGGATAATTCCTCATCGAGCATCGCTATCAGTTGTGAGATGCATGCTTCTTCGTTAGTTTTTGTCCACAGACATTCCAAGCCTCCGCCAGGAGACGGCAAAGACGGACATGAACCACAACAGCAGCAGGCACGCTCGACATTATGTCACCGCTGGAAAGGTTACTCAGTGAGTTCCTGATGCACGCAGAATTGCTCAAGGCGGCCACCTCATACTCCGTTTGGGGCTTCATGAGAATGTGAGAGTTCGCATAGCATGGCACCGCAGAGCCTTCGGAAGCGAACAAGAGAGCAAGCATGTGTACCACGTTTAGTTTGTCAGCCGATTCTCGTAGGGATTGATTGAGGAAAGAACCTGCTGTCACTAGGCCTTGTTTTTCGGTGCAGGCCTTTGGTGCAAACAGGTGCCTAGGTCCGTGGCCACAATTGTTGACGCACTTCTTCATGTCTGGGACTGACTTTTAGCAGCTTTTTCCTATAGGGGTTTGCTTCCACAATGCATCGCACGGGATCACAACATATCACGAGCATGTTGGGACTGCCCTAAAAAGTAAATCTCAAACCATCAAGCCCCATTTCAGTGGTGTTTAGAAGGACGCCAACATTAACGGAGTCTCGTCACAAACTAATCAGTGGTTTGGGGGTCTGGAAAACTCTTTGGCGGCCAGTTTGGAGGGTTCTACTACCTGGTTCAATAGGGGTTAAAGGTAGGTCTACGACCTTTCTGCCATATTGATAACACCAAAAGTCAGTGGGGTTTTGGGGCTGCTCAAGTGTTGGAGAGTGACGCGAGCTTCACATCACCCAAAAAGGGTACCTTTGCCACTAAAATATCGCCCAAAGCGGGCCCACGATTTTGAGAAACCACCGTATTGAGAGGTGCCCAGGGCACCCGGTGTCTGGTCCGAGCAGGTCCCACCTGATCTTCACCCTCACTGCTACGCAGAAGGACCCGGAGATCGGCGCCACCCTGCGAGGGAGGCTGGCGGGAAGAGGCTCAGTGGTAGTTGAAGACCACAAGGAGTGGAAACAGCGGTCCACACTCTGGGGTCTCCTCCACCCTGTTAAATACCAGGTTGTTGGCCCAACTCTGGTATCGCGTTTTGAAGAATCATGGAAGTGAACAGGCAGTCTCCAAGATATCCTGTCAGCTTTAAGGAGACAGGGTATGTTGTTTTTGGACCCCCTTGAATCAGGAAATGACACAGCGAACAGAACCCAGACTTATCGAGATCATGATATCATGATATGCGCGCGAACATAATGATCAATAGAGACGCAAATAAGTTGACACTTAAAGTTATACGTGACATGAATATATGAATAAGCACATTAATTGGTTGAATGAACACTTCCGCACATAAAGCGATTTACTCGTGAATGGAAAAACAATAAGCAAATTAATAGATAAGTAGATAAGTATATACATGAGTCAATAGCCAGACAAATAAATGAATGAGCTACTCAAGCAATGCATGCAAACCAATACATACATAAATCCTAGCATAGATAGACAAGTAAGAGCACAACTATAAACGAAATGAATGAATGAATGAATGAATTAATTAATTAATTAATGAACGAATGAATGAATACATAAGCAAACAAATAAGCAAATAGATAAACATCAAACTTAAGAAGCAGATAAAGGACGATCAAACATGTCCAACATCATGAAGAAAACCACACACACAAACAAAACAGTAAGCCAATAAACACAAATACACAAATACAGCAACCAACATGAATGAATGAACTGAAATGACATGAAATGAACTAACAAATGAATGAAATGAAATGGAATGAAATAGAATGAAATGGAATGAAATGGAATGAACTGGAGTGGACTTGACTGAATGAATGCGTGAATGAATAAATCGATAGGTTCATAAATATTTAGTTATCCTGACAATGGACCCCAATGGCCACAGGACCAGACCTGGAGAGCAGGTCCAGTAAAGCGCAAGGCTGTCAGGAGGCAGTAACTCCAAGTTTGGGTTGGTCGTGTCGCCTCGAATGAGGTGTCCTTCCCTGTAAGACAAGATATACGTTGTCATTTCCTTACCAAACGTACCCAAAGTGCAACCAAGCTTGCGCTACACTTTGATGCGCAAAGCCTCCAACTTGCACACCTGTATCTTCTCTGGGCAAAGCCCCTTTCGGGACACCGCCAAAACACCCCAAATACAACAATCGGGACACCGCTGGGACACCACTGGGAGACCACCACTGGACACCGAAATCAGGAACGCAAGCAGGACACCATCGAAACACCACCAAGAGGTCATCAAAGCACCACCACACCACCAAGACACCACCGACACCGCCAAAGCACGGCCAAAAACACAACGGGGACGCCACCGACACACCGACAAAACATCGCCAAAAACACACCGGGACACTACCAGGACACCACCAAAACAGCACCAAAAACACTACCAAAATACAACAACTGGGGCACGACTGGGATACCACTGGGAGATGCACGAAGACTTTCCAGGGAATAGAGTTTAAGATGCTACTGGGAAATCGGATACAGGTACACATGTATATATATATATAGATACATACAATATATATGTACATATATATTTGAAAAAAAATCGCATGATATGAGTCAGCTTCAACATGATGCCGGAGTGTGTCATGCACATGTTTATTTTTTTGATTTGTTTCCGCTTCTTCTTACTAGCTTTTTTTTTTTTTTGTTGTTGTTGTTGTTGTTGTTGTTGTTGTTGTTGTTGTTGTTGTTGTTGTTGTTGTTGTTGTTGTTGTTGTTGTTGCAGAAACCGATATGGGACGTCCAACAAAGCAATACTCCCAAAGGTCCCAAACCCTGACAAAACCTGAGAAAAGATACGGGACGTTCCAACGTTGAAATGAATACACCCCAAACAACAAATGTTGATTCTTACTCACATAATATATACATACATATATATATATATATCTATATATACATACATACATACATACATACATACATACATACATACACACCGACCATATATACATATATATATATATATATACTGAATATATGTATATATATACACATACATACATACATACATACATACATACATACATACATACATACATACATACATACATACATACATACATACATACATATATATATATATATATATCTACACACATATCAGGGATACCTTCGGATAGACCAGCTCTGATAAAGGTGTGATACATGCGGGCAATATCAGGACACGTTGGGTGGGTTGATTGCGGCAGGCTGCACCTGGTGGATCTTGCTGGCAGTGAGCGCCTCAAAAGGCGCGTGAGTTGCTGGGGCTTTTGGTTCCAAGTCCTTTGCTTCCACGGAACCCCGGCGAATTGCAGCTTTTCGGCAGAAATCCTTCAGCGAGTTACCTGAGTGAGGGAATGATCCTGAACGGGGGGATCCCTTGATTCCACGCCCCCTTTTGAGCCCCTGGGCACAGGGATTCTGGGCCCAAGATCAGTCTTTATTTGTGGGCCCTTTGACCTTTGCTTGCCCTCGTTGAGCCTAGCCTTTGGTCCAGAAGGTTCAAGATGGAAGCTAATCTGTGGAACCGCCCATGCCATAGAGGCCACACCGTGGGTATTCAATGAGTCGGACCCCTCCATCCGCTTTTTGGACCTCGCGGTCCTGGCAGGTCCATGTCCACCGACTTCCAATCGCCCAGAGGCGCTTCCGTGAGTGAGTCGCGGATTTTTGGGGCGCTGCGGTTGGATGCGACTTGTGGTGGTGCCAGGTGGCCGGCGGGCAGGAAAATGCCAGGAAAGCCTCACAGCCGTAGGACTAGACGTGAAGCGTGTTCCGGAGCTAGCTCCGAAGCCCCAAATGAAAAGGCAATCTCTCTCTTTCTCTCTCTCTCTCTCTACATATACATGTATATCAGGCGTACCCCTCCCAGACTTACATAGCTGGATCTTAGCCGTATTTGGCTTTATCCTGGACACGGCCTGGTGTTGAGAGGTGTATTGGTGCAAGCATTGTCTTCACAAGCTGCGCTTGTCTGAATGGCAATGGAAAGCAGACAGGGCTCATGCAGTTATATGGGTCTGTTTGTTTTTTGGATGGTAAGCAAAAGGAAGCCAACCACCTGAAGGGGTCCCCGATTTCGAGAAACCCCCATATGGGCTTTCTCAAAATAGGGGTCCTGAACGACAGCGGGGGGCAGGGGGGAGGGTCCGCCAACCAAAAGTCATGTGTCCCCGAAGGGCCTCCCGAGGGAGGGCCTCCCCAGATTTGGTTTTCTTGCATGTTTAATGTTGGTTCAGGGTTTTCTGTGTTTTTCATGATGTGTGATCGTTTTTGGGGGTACTTTGCTCGAATCTAGCTGCAATTGCTCAACTCCGCCAAGTGCAAAGGTAACGGCAAAGGTGGGGCCCGTAAATCAGGAGCGAGAAGCCAAACCTGCTGCGATTCCCAAGTGAGGTGGTTTAGATCACCAGTGTAATGTTGAGGGCAGCCCAGTCTCCCAAATCAAGCAAGAATTTCGGAGGGGTTCCAAAATGTAGGAAAATGCGACTGTTTGCTAGCAGGGCCGATTAAAGCTTATTAAGCCTTAATAAGCTTTAATAAGGCTTAGTAAGGCTTAATAAGGCTTAATAGGGCTTAATAAGGCTTAATAAGGCTTAATGTGGTGGGGAGGCCCCCCTCCCAAAACCTGCACAGGGACACGCTTTTGGCCCCCCCCCTTCCTCCTTCCTCCCCCTTCCCCGTCCCCTCCCTCCCCTCCCTTCCCTCCCCTCCCTTCCCCACCCCCTCTTACCCCCCCTCCCCTCCCATACCACCCCTCTTACTTCTCAAAAAGAAACGATGTTTTGGTCCCTTTTCGAAGTATGGTACTTTGACTAGAATCCTGGGGCATGTGTTCTAGGCTGGATGTCTTTCGAGATGGCGGTTTTGAAGGATTTGTTGAAAATATAAGAGACCATGTCCGTTTTGAGCAGTCTCATCTAAATAACCAATTATTAAGCGTTATTAAGCGTTATTAAGCCTTATTAAGGCTTAATATGGATTCGGGTCAAATCTGGGAAATCTGGGGAGGCCCTCCCTCGGGAGGCTCTTCACGGACACATGAAAAAGGAGTCAAGACGACCACTATTCCAAGCAACACCTACTTTTGGCTACGGGCGCCAGGGGGCCTCACCCGACGTGGCAGTGGCGGGCCAGGGACTGGGACGTTGTTGCTTCAGCCCTTTCGGACAAGTAAGCTCAGCGTGGGGCCGATCGCGTTACCATTTACCGTAGCGCTTTGGTTTTGCGTTGGGTGGGGCTCCCTTCAAAATCAAGCTTCACCAAAAGGGTGCCCTTCTTTTCCCATGGCTTCTGGGCTCTTGCTCAGGAAGCCCTTGGCTCCAGGCATGTTTCGTTCAGACCTTGGATCCAGCATTGCGGCCGCTACTTCATTGGTAAAGTTCATTTCGGTGGAAGTTCTCCCGGCTTCGTTGAGAGGATGAAAACGATGAATGAAAAGAGGGACTGGGCAGCTTCCTTTTGTAGCAAAAGCCACCGCAGGAAAGTTTGCGTTTCACTTTGATGAAGCAGATAAACAAATGCGATGCTCTAACCCTGGTCAAGAACTGTTCAATGATGTTGCTGACAAAGATGCCATCGGATGGAAGGACGCCCATGAGAGTGAAGGCTGTTGTGAGCCCGTACTGCCCGGCCGAGACAGAAGCAAGTTTTTGGATGCTTCCCCTGTCATTGGTACTTTGTTGGTACGACCGCCTGCGGTTCTCAGGACGATATTCAGCAGCAGCGCAGATTGAGTGACCCACAGTCTGGAGTCCAGTTCACGATTGCAAGGAAGGAGCAAGACTTGAGCTCAAGCCCCTTTGCAATCCTTTGTGCCTTTTAGAGTTAAACTTGGCAAAGTGGACAAGATATGACAAGATAACAGCAACTCTTCAGAGAGAACTGATGGGCGTCCACCGGGAGCTCGGCCACTGGAATGCCTACCAAGAGCTTCTGAAAAGGCTGCCGGCGCTGCTGGAGCAGGCGCCCAGGGCGGCAAGTCCTACGACCCAAGATTCGCCCTGAATGGCCAATCCCTCTGAAGTACCACCCTTCCGGGCGGGGCAGCGTTGGTAAGGCCCACTCCCAAATTTCACGCGAGTACCGCCCAAAACCCAACACAGGCAGAAAGGTTTGTATTGGACCTTACTGTAGCTCCTATTGAAGGCAAACCCCCTTGCTGAATGGCCAATAGGCACAGTGGTTCCCTGCGCGGCTCGTGATTTTAATTAGTCCTACCAGTTCATGTTTCAAACTAATGTTTTACGTGTTTTAATAGGCGGCAGGCCCAAGCCTCGGGGTCGAAAGAGCGATTCCACGTTTTCATTTGTATGGCAAGGACCGTCGGAGACCTGACGCGTTTCACAATGAAGGGGAGGAAGATGAGCTAAGGGCAGAGTGCGCCTTTGTACGCAGCAGAGCTTAGACAGATTCAAGGCCTTGGAAACATGCTCTTCCTGGAACACTATGAGATAGGATGCAGTCCCTCCCACATGTTGACACAGTTGACACATTGACACACGGTTGCTGTTTCTCAAACAGCTGAGATGTTTGGCCATTGCCTGTTGTTTGTTCCTTCACCGGGGTTGAGCTCCTGGCGAGGGCCGGAGAGACGGTCACGATGTGGACGCGGACCCAATGTTGACGCTGGACGTCCCCGGCTTGTTGCGGCGCTACCTCATTGCGGAGGTGCATCCGAGCGGGTGGCAATTGGGACGAATCATAGCGACCTTACGAGGGGGGAGGGGAACAGCAATGCATTCCACCCAGATTAGGAATCTGCTCCGACGGGTTTCAATCGTGCAATGGAGGCACAAGCTAATGCCCAAGTAAGCAGTAAGCAGCCCAAAACCAGTCTCAAAGCAACAAGTCAATATGTGGCAGTTCGTCAGCAGACACCATGCTGGTTCTCAGTGGCACCCTGTGTCCCGTTTTGTTTCGCTAGGTCCCCCAGTGGCTCCCATTGAACCCATAACCAATGGGCAAGCACAGTGACTACTTCAGAGGTGGGTCATGGCAAAAGCAGGATGGAGCCCTCAGATGCGGGATTGGGATCCATGCAGCCATGTGCGTGCCGGTTTTCCTTGGCGCTGTCCATATCGTGCATGTTGATGTGAGCAAGATTCGAGCGGTGCCTCGCTGACAGAAGGAACCTTCCAAGGGGCCCCACACCGACATTGTTTGACATTGGACCTCAATTTCCGCTACTCGAAGTGCTTCATTACAGATCTATAGTGCACGGCTAACCGTGTTGTTCGTTGCCGTCAGTTGCCAAGCTTTCACGATCCTTTCTCAAGGGATACTTGTGGCTGTGTTTTGTTCAACCCGATTGCACCCTGTCACTTGGACCCATTCTTCTTGAGCTGCTAATCCTAGATTCCGGCTAGGACTGGAACGTCGACAAGGCGGAGCAGAGGCTGCAAAGTACCATCAGCTTTCGCAGGAAGTGGCAGATTCTGGAATACTACAAACCAGGACATATTTTTCTTGGCGCCGAGCTGTTCGATTATGTCGTGAATCTGGGCTTTTGTCATATTGGTTTGCAACGGGGAATACGCTATGCAGGAAGTTTGAATCTCAAGAGCCATCACGTTGTCGCCCAAGCACCGAAGCGCATTGCCAACGCCGGACTTGAACTCGGAACCCGGGGAGACGCATTTTCAGGGGTGCCCATATCTCTTCATTTGGCTCGTTAAGTTGAAGCATCTCGTTTTGAAGCCGAGAATGAGTTTCCCTGCGAATTTGGGAGGAGCTGCAAAGCACTTGTACGAAGAAGCATCCAACCCAGGCCAGCCGGGCAGTGAGCTTGCAGCCGGTCGCAAAAATCTGAGTTGCGCGATTAGCGACCATGCAGTGGGCGGGGGCAAATCGATCAGTTCATTTTGAAGCCCATGTTGCGTGTGGATCCGGATGTTTCGAAAGTTCGCATTCGCCTTTCCTCAGCATGGCTTTTCAACTTGCCATGAGGCACGAAGAACTTGGTCGCAGATGCAGGGTTGCACAAAAATGGCCCAAACAACCAAGATTGGTCAACGGCTTCCTTTGGTATTTGGGAGGATTTGAGAGGAAAAGGGAGTCCTTCTGATTTCCGCAAATGGGCAGCAAACGTCGACTCTGGATTTCAGCCGAAAGTGCAGATTCATAGGGGAAGGTACCCTTTGTATTGTCTATATCCTCTAAAGTGGCGCATGCAAAAGAAGGACCCCTTCAATACTCCACTGGCCACCCAGTCGCTGACTAGGTCAGATTGTCGCCATGTTCCTCAGCTTTGAGAGGTCAATTGGGAGGATAAAAGGGTTTCGTTGAAGATGCGGGTTGGCCTTCATTGTCTCTTGTATTTGCTTCTGTGTTGGGTTCTGACCAACCTCATGTACTATATATATATATGGCCTGCATGTAATTCACGTTTCTTGGGAGCAGTGTCTTGTGTCAGGCTGTGTCATTCCCCGACCGGTT